GAACGTCGAGAAATGCAAAAAAATTGCATGGATTTGTATGTATTTATGGACGTTAGTGTGGGGGACAATTTTTTTCACCCAATTTTAAGCTCTAACTCCCGTGCCTTTTGTCGAAATTTTCTGAAATTTTGCAGAGAGGTTCTTGTATTAAGGGGATTGATACTGTTAAATTTTGACGGTTAAAGGTCGAGAGGGTGGGGAGCTAGAGGGGTTCAGGTGTCATCTCGTTATTAGCATTTGCAATTTTTAAAATAAAACTCGTCCCTTCCCTCGAAATTAACCTATTAGACATTTTATAATAATCAATAACACAAAAGTTTTTTAAAATAAAATGTCGTAATAAATGGAGCCACACGTAATTATAACCTTTTTGACAGGAAAGTTAGGCAATCGGTTGTCGTACATTTTTTCATATAAACTACAAAAATACCTGCTTCTTATCTACTTAAAATTATTATTTTTTTTATATTTAAGACTCTAGATATACAGAATTTGTTTTGTTTCGATATAAAACTTAGCGTAAATACTTCCTGCAGGCTGTAAAACCGACTCTAAACATGAATTAATGCTTAAGAAATGGGTATAAAGAAGAGAAACTGGATTTCCCTTCACGTAAACCGCAAAAAATATTCTCTTTTACTCGAATAAAATGATCTTTATATAAGTCGAACTACCTCTGTAATAGTCGTGCCCCCTCCATCACACCGTACAGTATCTCATACATCGTGGCAAAGGGAGGATATTTTACAACGTAATGCATGCTGCAATGGTCCATAACACAAAATATGCTGCAGAGTTTCATTTTATAAGCAAGAATTTATATTCCTTCGCTAAATTACAGCAGATTTAAGTGGAAAAAAGTCCTAAAAAAACACATATTTATTCATCGAATTTCGAGATAGTGACTGACTTCCCTCGCGCGAATTGGAAATTTAATATCTTGTAACTTAACTCGGATCAAAATTAAAGAACTTATGAGCAAGTTTTTTCCTACAGAATCATTGATTTTAAATTAATATTGCAGCCTGGAGAAAAAAAAAATCACATCGAATTTGTTCGTGTAGCTACATATTTCCATACATTCATGAAAATTAACGATAATGGATGCGGAAAAAAAAACCCGTCTGATACATCACTACTCAATGAATTATATAATAAACATCTAAGGATATTTGGCGAATAAATATTAATTTAAATTTAATGATAATTATAAAAAAAATAATTAATATGGCCACAGATTTAAAAAAAAAAATTTCAGCAACGAGTTGCTTAACTTTCATGGCAAAAGTTAAAATTGCGTGGCGCCATCTGTTACCGGCTTTTATTTCCTTTTAAAAACTTTATTAATTTATAAGCGGGAAAGAAAAAAATTCGATCCAACTAAGTGCTCGAATTTTAGAGGATAGCGCCAAATTCGATATAGTGTGGCGCTAAACCGAAGCACCGCAAACAATAAATACATCTATGCTGTACCATTATATGTCAACACTGAAGAGGGGTTGGGAATATAAACCAACCCGAAATGCATATGAATTAGGAATTTTTTAAATAAAACGTACGTTTTCTAACCAATTGCTGTCCGTTCGTCTACCAACTCGTTTTGGATTACACAGACGCTACACGCTGCATTTGATGATACAGCAACCACGTCCTCTACATTAAAAAATAGTAATGAAGTCTACACACGTGTTTTGACTATTCGAAAGGCACCTCTCGCGATTTATACGCTATTTACGATGTTGTTAAATCGGGATTTGATTGATATTAAGAAACACAAACACTCATTGATTTTAGAAGATTTTTTTTTTCACGTGGAAACTTCGATTCGGTGTAACTATTTTCTCTATTCACTAAATCGAGTGTGGCGCTAAACCGAATAATTAACAATAATTATGTATATTTGTAAAGATTTCTATTTAAAAGTCGCGATTTAGTGTCACAAGAGTTCTGTTATAGGGAAGATCCGTTTACAAGTATTCTTGTTGCTATATAGGAGGGCGCTATATCGGGGTTTTATTATAAATTATATTAAAATATTAGAAATAAAGTTTCTTCCATAAAATCTTTGATAAAATTGCACTTTCCAGCGAGTTAATACCATTTTAAAATGTCTTCGTCAAATGAAATATCTCATTAATGAAAGGTCGAACGTTACAAAGGGCAGTTTAATTACGCGTATAACGGGGTACGTACAGTACGTCATATTAGTTTACTAAATTAAAATCAACGAGAAGAATTCCTCGGCAAAGCGCATTACTGCGATTATTATCAAAGGGTTACACACGCCGTAAGTTAATTGATATCAACGAGTTAAGAGGAATTAATTAAAACAAGGCAACAACAAATGGGAAAAATGTTCTCTTTAATAATAGTAATAATAATAATAATAGTAATTAATATTATAATAATGGCTTTAATACAGATCTTTCGTGTGCGTGAGAAAAATGTGAAAGAACACGAAACATCACACGATACATTTAACACGAAAATTGTATGAAGTTCTTCATACATTTTGCTTTATCAAATATCCAACAGGGTGCGAAATTTTACGTGTTTTTTACGTCGGAAAACCCGTTTTTTTCTTTACTATTTTCTTCGTGTATATATATAAAAAATTGTTTTATTGTTTAAATAATTACTTTGATAGTTGTTACGTGATTGGTTATTTAATTATTTTAAAAAAATTCCTATTTCGTCTGAAATTGGAAACGAAATAAAGTGTTGGAGGGTGTTGACTTTATGAAAAAGAATTTAATTTTTCTATAACTTTCTTTTTAATCCTTTATTCGCCTCGACTTTTAACGAATTCAACTTGTTTCTTCACGCCATTTAATTTTAAAATTGGATTGTGTCTCCCTTTAACCGCGCCGGTTTATTATCTTGTTACTCGGAAAATTGCATTGTTATTACTTAAATATTGGAAGGAAAAAACTTTTCTTTACTTCAAGTTACGGTTTTTAATTTATGCATCGACTTGTAAATAAAATACGTGCCCGAGAATGGTGTCCTTCAACAATTTTTTCATTCACGTACATAATTGCGGATTTTTTGACACCTCCATGCCACTGTGTTTACGTTATTTTTAAGCTTTTTGCATGTTATTTATAACATTTTACAATTGTTATAGCTAAAATAATGTTTTCACTACATCATTCGCTGGTTTGTTTACTTAAACCTTCTGATATCCTGCTTAACTAACAGATTGAACCTGAAACCTATTTTATGCCTTTAAACTGAAGCTGAAACCTGTTTTATACCCTGAAAACTGTTCAACTATAAATTCGACAATATGTAAAGCTTTTTTAATTAGAATATTATGTAATATATATAAACGCGATTTTATACAATCCTAGAAACACTTTAAGTACTCCTACTCCACCTGTATCATTCATGTGTTGCTATTGTTTCGTACCGTTTCTTCTAAAGAATTTAATAAATCTGGATAATTTATAAGCCAAAACTTTAATAAATAATTGAAATGTTTGCCTTAAATTTCAGACGGTTAACATAAAACATAAATAAGCTCAAATATTTCGCAATTCACTAAATAAATTCATAGCTATTTTATTTAGTCTATACTCGAAAAATTACTGTTTTTACTATAATATACTGAATTATTTTACTTTAAATGTATCATTACCCTTATTTAAAATTACTCCTAATGTTCTAACAATGTGTTTTCTATCGGGGATGGGCTGGAATAGGTTATTTTATATATATGCATTGCATATAATTTCTCACATCCTTCGATCCAGCTTCCACCCTTTCCTACTTGTCTGTGGAAAAATGTAAGGATTTTACGAATTTCTTTTTTTATAAAACGTAGAAAATACAGCTTTTTTTTAAGAAAATAGAGTCGAAATTATTAATTTTTCTCCTTAAAAATTGAAGATTATTTTCCGTTTTTCCGAAGGTAAATAATTAATTTCGGTACGTATATTTCGCACCCTGCTTGTGTGTGGTTTTTTACAATGGTTCTTGACAGGTTGGTGAAGTTTTCTCGAGTTGACAAAATATTAAACGAAACTTGCGCTTAAGCCGGGTACACACGTACAGTTATACCTGGCAGGCATACCTGAACAGGTAAGTCTGTCCGGCATACCTGAACGCGTGATGGCAGAGCAATCAATTTTTTTTTTCATCCACACGTTCAGGTATGCTTGTCAGGTATACCTGAACGTGTGTACCCTGCTTTACAGAATTATTAAAGCGTCGAGAACCATTGTTTTATTACGAACATCAAACAATGAATTTAATTTGGAAGGATGATTTTACAATAATTTTCCTCGAAAAATTTCCCTTCCTTCTTGCAAATATTCTACTCCTTAATATAGATTGTCTAGGAGTATACTTAGGGAAGACAAAGCTTTAATTACAAAGAATTTTCGACAATTTTGTGCAAAGTTTTCTGTAATTAATTGACGGAGCTACAGTTACAACAATATTAAGTGCAATGTGCATAGTGAAGAAAATCTTATATCCCAACGAGAATTGTTTTCATTTATTTATTTTTATTTTTATTTTTCATTTTTTTTTAGAATCCTGCTTGTTGTTTTAAAGATAAATAGAGCATACGTATGCTTTTTTTCATGTTTTGTTTCCTCGACGTGTATCCTTACGTAAGTGGACTTAAATATGTTGTCAACTGTACTTATTGGATGGTTGCTTGGTTGCTTTTTAATCCATTATCGTGAAAGGATGGAATATTGTTGGCCTGTTTGTTTTTACTAGATTTTAATTAGATTACGGAGGATATAAGCAATAAATAAAGAAATAAGTGAAGAATTACTCCGCTTATTCTCTTCTTACTAATTAAAGAATAACACAAAATATTCAGTTCTGTACTCAGTTTGCAACTCCTTTAGCTTATTTTATTTTTGGCTTCTGTTTAAAGTATAGGATGTTTTATGAAATTATTTGACGAAGTACCCGATCCAGATGTTCATCCTTCTGTTTTCACCATTTAGATTATTAGTTGGTGCAGACGGAAGGGCTTCTTATTTGTTGAATGGCAAAAGGAAGCCTTGTTTCGTTCACCAATTAATAATAAGGAGGCCTTAAGTTATAGCTTCGTAGCGTGTAACCCAATGCACATCCACCACACAAATGTGTAACTAATGATATCTACTACGCAAGTGTGTCAAATAATGGTACTCACTACTGACATACTATGCTGTATGCGTAGTGCGTCACTTGTGTAGTAGGTATGTAGTGAGATATACCTACTACACAAGTATAACTATAGGAGTGTAGTTGACACACTATGCCTACACGTGCAGTTGGGTGTGTAGTTGACACACTATGCTGTAAGCATAGTGTAATGCCACTTCAGCAAATTACAATAAATTTAAATTAAAGATGGTGAGATCATAAAATGTATCCTAACCTGTAACTTGTGTACAGTACAGTACATTCCATGCCGTTTTCATATACGATACAGTTCATCACATTTTCATCACTCTCATACTACTGAACACTAAAAACAAACAAAAATGGTTGAAAAATAATAAATTTAATAAAATAGTTATCTGCAAACATTAGAAAACTTTAGAGAAATCCAAAACTTTTGCAATTATTACTTTACTTTAAAAAAAAAATGTAACTATTGAAAGGTGTAGCATATATTCCCAACAACTTTAAAGCTTTGTCACAAATAAAAAAAATATCGTTCCATTTTATACTGCAAACCATTGTTACGTGCAATTCCGCTGTAAGAAACCTAACAAGCAGAGGAATTACAGACAGACAGACGAACATGCGAATCTTTATGGTCCAGTTTGAGAAGTGATACGATAACCGCTCAAAAATACTGATCCTTAATGAATTACAACATTTGGATCGTAAATTAATTTTAAAAAATACGATAATAAAACAATTTAAAGATTTCGTTTGCAAACTGAGCACAGTCACACAAGATGAAGACTTAACAATACGAATAAAGTAACATTTAGTGTTTATTTGCTATAATTATAATAATAATTATAAATAATTTAAAAGTAAGAAAAATAATTTATATATATATATTTTTTGCCATTCTTACTTTGAATAATATTTTTTTATCAAATAATTTTCTCCTTTATAATTGGTCCCGTTTAAATCGGCAGGCACAGGTTAAACGTACGTTAATAAAATATTAAAAATTAAATTAAAAAGTGTTTTTTTTTTAATTTTAAGCTTGATTTTTAGACGGAGAGTGGATTGGTTTATGATTTCTTTTTAAACTTATTTTATTCGCAAGCAATTATTTTTTCCTGGTTGCGCATTATACGACGATACACCGAATACGTCTTTTTGTAAGGTGTTTAAAAAAGAAATATCCGGTGAAACGTATCGAATTTAGTTCTTATGATGTAATTTATGAATCAATTTTTGTTGCATTAGGCCTAGTCCTTATGCAATTCTACTTGCACACACGGCAGTAAAACAATGTGTACGTGTTGTTCCTGTATAAAAAAAATTTATTTTTTATTGTTTAAAGTCGCTTCTCGATTAAAATTCTATCTTAAAAAGCTTTGTAAATATTATAGTTTAGCTTATTACAAGTTATGCTTACTCATACATTTTCTTACAGAATGCAGTTTTACTCACTCATTGTAGTAATCAAAATGACATTCTCCACAGGAATAACGTTGACAAATTCAATTAATGAATCAACTTTCTAGCAAATACGCAATGCTTTTCAGTGAAGTGGACAATTCGAACTCATATTTTGTTAAAAAAATTCCGCGAATTTTCTTACACCCACCCCTTTTTTTACTTTTCCTGCCGTGTTTTAAGCTACCAAATTGCTTGAGGACTTACTTAAAAATCGTTTTATTTTTAAATTGAAAAAAAAACTGTTAATTGTGTTTAGTGAAAAAAATACGTAACTTAATCGCCGTGCTTTAATTTTGATGAATTCTTTTTTCTTTTTAACTTTTCTTTAATAATTTTCGAGTTATTTTTAGAGCTTTTTCAATTTTCTTCGGCTTCCGGTTACACGTTCTCGGATATAAACGGTTAAAGAATCATTTTGCTGATATATATATATTTTTGTTTTTTTTTTTCGTGTGTCTCTTTGAAGTTTTGTGAATTTTTTACAAACGTGGCAAATTTTGGCCCTGTATTAATTTATGAACAGTGTAAATCATATAAAAAATTAATAAGTCGAGTTCGTAGAACAGCCTATTACTTTGCCGCTTGTGTTACAGTTTGCGTGTTTATAAACGGTTAAATTGTTCCATTAGTGTCTTATTTTAACAGTTTTAATGCAGTTTTCTTTACGAATAAAATGCCCCGTAATATTCATTAATAAAGTAGTCATAATGAATAAAATTATACATGCGACCGAAAGTATTAAAAAGCACGCTAAAGTATAAATCGTAACAACGTAACTGCAAGTTAAATACGTAAAGTTACGCGTGTTTTTCTAACTAAAAGCTGTAAAAATAATCAATTATATAGAATAATATTTTCATCACGGTTAAGATAAAAGAATTTTGAAATATACGGTACCGCATACTCATTACATATGTTCGTACCGTATGCGGTACACGCATACACAATGGTTATTTCAGTGTAGAAACCGTATAAAATTATACAGAACGATCGATATCGAGTGTACTTCCTCCGACAGTGGACAAAATAAAAAGCCTTCCGCATATATCCACACAGTCGTTTATAGGGATAGACAGATTAATAGAAAGATAGAGAAGTAGTAGACAAAAAACATAGGCACTTGGGTCGGGAACAAGAAGAAAATATACTAGAAAAACACCATTTTGTTTTCACATTTTCCTGTGTGGTTTAATGCGGAGTTTACTAAAACGTCAGGCATATTCCGTTTCTGATAAACTCTGTCCTTCTGATAAACTTCTGTCAAAATAATATTCGTCTGATATATCTTCGGATGTCTGTCCCGCTTTCGATATTGATTTCTGGTAACTGAACAGTTGTCTTTCCAGGCTGTAGTTTTCCGTTTGCAGCGCCGATATCTCCCTCCTGGAAAACATCAGAAAAACAAAAAGAGAAAGAAATATGCAGGTATTTTACATTCGTATCGATAGACGTGTTACGTCATCGAATACGTAATTGAGCTCCAGCCGCTTACGTCTGCAGTGATGTCGCCAGTACTAAGACGTGTCCTGTGTACTGCCATCATTTCCGGTGGATTATCATAAAAATAATCGATGAAAATAAAGAAATGCTAGATATTATTTAATATATTTTCGTGTATACGGAATGCGTAATTAAGTATAAATGTACGAAGCTGTATTGTTGTATTATTGTCAGCGTTATATTAGAAAATATAACACCATACAGTATACATTTCGGTAAGAATTATGAGTATATAATTAATAAAATTATAAAATGCGTGTAAATTATTTATATCTAATCATTATATAATATACGATTACATTATATAAATCGCATATAAAATATTATCGATTATTTTTATGATAATCCACCCGAAGTGTTGGCAGTATTACAGAACACGTCTTAGCACGCGCCACACTACCGAAGACGTAAGAGGGTGGAGCACAGTTACGTATAATTAACGAAAAAATTATTGTGACATCGTCACAATACCGCACTACAACTTATAATCATCCATTTAAAATATACGCTTTCGATTTATTCCCCTGTACATCATACTTTCCCTGATAGCAACAGTGGTGGCCGCTATTTAAATAGAGAAATTTTAAAATTGAAATCACGTGATTCTAGACCGTAAAATATTTATGTAAACAACAGCCAATTGTGTATGTCGGTCTGTACAAATTTTAAATATATTCAAATTCAAAAGGAGGAGAAAAAATAGGATTCTTTTCTTTCTGTATAATGCAAATGTAATCGAATGCAATTAAAAAAAAAGGTAATCTTATAGCAGAGAACCTTATGCAAATGACGTAATTAAACGAAACAGGAATGCAAATAAAAATAGTAAAATATATAAAATTAAAATGGTTTTGTGTAACTTTCTCTTATCTTCTTTCCTTCTTTTTCTCCTTCTTAAAAAAAATTATATAAAATTAAGAGAACAGGGGGAATAAAACTGTTTTAATTGCTTTTAATATTATACTTGGCCAGGTTTTTCAGTATTATTTGCTTATTTCTTGCTACGTGCAAGTCGCTGTACTCTATTATAATTACTTTTTTTTCTCGTGATGAGTTCGGAATTATAAAGACCGGTCCGAAAGTCACTTAGCCGTGTTTTTGGATATGTTACAACTTTGTCATTTCCGTATTGAACAAATAGATAGTCACGTAGGGTGGTCTAGAAGTCAGTTAACTACCTTAGATTTAATCGCGGTCTTATTCGAATTCTTAACTATATGAGCCCGACGTTGCTCGGGAAAAAAATAAAAACAGCAAGATTATTAGATTCTTTCGTACTTCTAACCATTATACTACATTATAGCTTTTGATATATATTTTTACAAAGGTTATCTTACGAAAAAGTTTATGACACCAAGTGCCCAATCTAACGCATTTAAAAAATTCTTATAACCTTTGTAGTTATATAAATTCGACCAAAAGTAGTCGTTGACCATCCTCTCTTCCGGAAAGAGGTCAACGAATACTCATTAATAGCGGTCTACTACTAATATTTGAAGAGTGGTCCGTGTTAGACGGGTTGTGATGGCTTCGCACGTGATCGAAGTTGATAACCTTAATTCCCGAAAGACTTCGTATAAAATTTATTTAAATAAAAAAAAAATATGGTAAAAATGCGAGAATAATTGCTTGTATATGATAATAAAGTGTTTATGTTTTGGCAACAGGTTGAATAAACTACGTGGGAAGTACACTCTCGTAAAAATTGCATTTATAGAAAAATTATTGGACTGCAATTTGAAAAAACTGTAGACTTGCATATTCTGTCTGTTTGTCTTTAATCTCGAGAAAGGAGTTAGGTAGAGGCAGGGGCGGACTAAGGCCTAGGCAACCTAGGCACGTGCCTAGGGCCCGTAATTTTTGGGGCCCGGAAATTAGGTTTTTAAGTTTTTAATTTATATAATTAATTTTTATTTTAATTTAACAGAAAAACGTGATATTCATAATTTTTGCTGAAACGTATTCAAATTATTCCGAATCGTTGATTGATAAAGTCGACAAGTGTGGACAAGCGTTCTCGTGCTTATGCATCCACACCCGCGAGTGTCGATGTGTGTAAATACGATCGAGCCTTTACTATGCAGAAATACTTTACTATATCCAATCCAGAATAAAACAACATATTTTTTCTGCCCATTTTATACCATGCGCAAATCATTCATTAAATTTAATTGGAAACGCTGCTGCCGAAAGTTGCATGGAAATGACCACTTTTTTCAATATCGTTCAGGAATTGTACGTATTTTTTTCAAGTTCTACACATAGGTGGAATGCATTACAAAAATTTTGTAAGAGCAAACACTTGAGTATTAAACCTATTTGTGACACCAGGTGGTCTGCTCGTTCCGATGCTGTGAAATCCTTAAAGGAAAATTATGAAGAAATTAAACATTGTTTACGTCATTTTTCCTCAAACAAAGATGAAAAACCATTAACAAGGTCCGAAGCTGCCGATTTACATAAAAAACTTGATACATTTGAGTATGTACTGTTACTTACTATATGGGAAAAGATTTTAGAGAGAATAGATGCTTCAAACAAGACTCTTCAACAAAAAGACGAATCCCTAAATATAGCAGTTTTAATATATGATTCATTGATAGATTTCATACAAACTGTTAGAGATGATTTTGACAATTTAGAAAAAGAAGCAGAAAAAGTTAAAGATATTGCATATACTAATGATAAAAAACGGCAGAAAATACGAAAACTATTTCACGATGAAATTCCAGAACATGAAATAAGTTAATATTTTTTTTTTGTTGTATGCGATTCTTTAATTAGCAACATTAAAAAAAGATCTGAGGGATATAAAACTATTAACAATAAATTCAAAACAATTTTTCATGATAGTGATGTTAGTGACTCTTCAATAGAGGAATTAAAATGTTATGAACAAGATTTAAACCTAGCAGAACTGAAAAATAAAGTATTACAATTTAAGACTTTTATAAGTAAAGAAAATATTATTTCGCCTGTATCCATGTGGTCATTTATTCAGGAAAATAATATTATTGCAACATTCCCTAATTTAAACATAATTCTGAGAATTTATTTAACACTTCCAATAAGCAATGCAAGCGGTGAAAGATCATTCTCAGTAATGGCCAGAATAAAAAATTTTTTAAGATCCACATTAGGCCAACAAAAATTAAATAGTTTATCATTACTTTATATAGAAAAAGAGTTATTAAATAACTCTATTAATTATGACAAACTAATTGACGAGTTTGCAGAATTAAAAGTGAGAAAAAAGGCAATATAACTAATCAATTTGAGTATATTTGTTTAAGTATTATTGTTTGTTTTAATAAATTATGTTTATTTAATTTTTGTACATGTATATTATTTTTTTCCTTTTTTTCTTGGAATCCGATAATTAAATAGAACTACATACTATATGCTTTAAAACCAAACTACCAAACGCAAAGTATGTGTCATGACTGAAAAATAGGCCCGGAATTACAATGTTGCCTAGGGCCCGCTTTAGCCTTAGTCCTCCACTGGGTAGATGATAGTCGAGACCGGACGTGGAAATCTTAACAGAAAGAGGACCAAGTTAACTATATATGAACTTCCGATTTGTGCCGCAAGTCACGTTATTTCAATTCAAAAATTTTCCTTCGAACTGTGGAAAAACACTACTACACGCAGACAAATGCCATCTGATTACTAGTAATGGCGTAATGACGCATCTATTTCGCGCTATATTATTGTCAGTGAATATAATATATAGTTTTTAAAATAATATCTTTTTTTATGTAAAAATTATATTTAGTTAATTGTTTTGTTAAAATTTTTCCCATAGATGGCGTTACATGTAATACCAGTAATTCAATGTAGACAAAAATTAATCGGTATATAGTAATCCAATCGATTATTGGGGGTGGGATGTAGGATATGATCTAAGTTGGAAGTATAGGAACATAAATGCCGAGTTTCGTAGCAATTGGTCAAATGGTGTAGGAGTGTTTAGCGAACAAACAAACAAACATTCTCATTTATATATAAATTACAGTAGAGCGTCGATTTTTCGAATCAATTGGTGACTGGGGTTGTTCGGATAACTTATTTTTCGGATAATCGATTATGTACGAAAAAATATATTAATTTATCCCATCTTGACATTTTCCTCTGTTGCATGTCGCTTCGTGTTGAATTTTCGTCGATGTTAAGCCTAACGAAGACTATTGTATTGTTAAAAATTATTTTTTTATTTTGTACAAACAAAATAAATATATTGAAAAATATAAAAACAATAAAAAATTATACTTCAGATGTTAATTTAGTATCAAAAACGTAAAATATTTGAATAGCCCAAGACATAGCCAAAGATTGAAGCGCCACAGCACTGGCGAAATTTAAATTTGCCTACTGGAATTCTTTCGGATGATTGACTTTCGGAAAATCGACGCTCTACTGTATTTACAAAAATTAGCTTAAGGTAAACTTAAGCTAATTTTTCCGACTGCTAACCAACTTTTAGAGCATTCATAGATACAGTATATTTTTGTGACGATTAAGCTTAGGGGAAAAATTACTTATTGTGGCATTGTCACAAAGCTGGGCAGCTGGGATGCAATTTTTAATTTAGAAGTAAGCTTTCTGTATCTGGTTTTAATTTTAATGTAACTAATACCGTTCTGGAGATTAACGAAGGACGGACAGACGTACAGTACATACTGACGAATGTATAGGTATTTTTATTTACCGAGTTTTAAAACGAGTAAATCTTAAAAAATTAACAACAGACCGTCCTTACAAAATTATTTAGAATCTACAGTTAAAAAAAAAATTAAGAATACAGTAGAACCTCCATTATCCGGACCTCCATTATCCGGATTTTCGATTATCCGGATTGTTCAAAATAAACAAAAATTTTACGAATTTGCTGATTTGCACTTGGCGAATTACGATACTGTTTATGTACGTACGTGATGGAATGCATAACTTTTTTTGTTTCAACAACGTCTCACCCAGCACAGTGGTCGTAAACTCTTAAATATATTTTACGTCGTAATAAAAATATAACTTGACATACGTATTTATAAATAATTTATATTCAAATTACATCATTTCTATGACCAAGGGCGGCGTAAGGCATGGGCAACGTGGGCCACCGCCTATGCCTCACGGTCCGAAGGGCCTCGCGTTTCGAAGGTTTATCCATTACTTAAAAACCGCGAACGCGACGAAAAAATTTTACTCGTCATAAAACGATAAATAGTTTGTCAAATTTTTATTCATAAAAATGCAGTTTCAACTGCTTTTTATTTTATAAAATCCGTCTTCTTGCGCCATCAGAGGGCCTTTTAAACAATAAGTAGTCTGTTAGCATTGGTCAGTAGTAGTCCAAATTCAATACGAACGTTTGTTTCTTGACAATTTGATCACGATTTAAATACAGTATTTATTTTTAATATTACCGATATGTCATCGAAAAGAAAACGTGTTGTATTATCATTAAAAGACAAATTAAAGTATCTGTTTCGATTATCCGGATTTTTCCTTATCCGGACTACCTTCATCCCCATTCGTCCCTACCTTCATCCTACCTTCAATTAGTCCGGATAATCGAGGTTCTACTGTATGTGGTAAAATAATTTAAGGATTTATTAATATTAGATTTTACTAGTTTTTTCTTTTACAAAAGTTGTCTGAAAATTTGTTTGCCCCCGTTTAAGGAAATAAATATAACTTCCCGAAGCTAAATGTTATGTAAACTTTGATGATTTCGTAAAATCGATTAAATCACGACTGAGATGGCAAATTAATTAGTTTATAATAGAAAATCGGTCGATACTTGTATACTGATCGATAGAATCAAAATATTCTTATATAACTGTGCTGTATAACATAACTAGTAAAATTATGCTTCAGTAGTAGAATGATTTTCCATAGGGTTCTATCATCATAACAGCGTAACTCATTCTGAATAGGATTTCATCATCGTAATAGTATAAAACTAGACAGGAATTTGTTATCATAATGGCACCACTCCCTTGCAGGGTTTCTCTATCAAAACAGCGGGACCCTGGATAGGGTTTTGTTTCTTGTCTTAAGGAATTATCGTATGTAGAACTTCTACGAAAGCTACGACTTAATACATGTAATATTTTCCCAATCAGCGAAAGCTGAAAATTTCGAAACAAGATTTTTTAAAGATATTTATTTATCTTCATCTTAAATTCTTAGAATTGCTTCTCTGCAGATTTTAATTCCAAAATCACATTAATTTAGATAGAAAAATGGCGAATTTATTGACTTTTCTACATTTATTAATGATTGTTGTTGTTAAGTAATTAAATAAGTTTTTATATACGAAATGTTTAATTATCAAAACAGAAGAAAGGCAACAAAATTTTCAAAGTAATTACGCTAATACAATTGAAATAAACGAAAACAATAGGACTTATAGGTATGTGCGTAACTCGTATTTGCTTAAAGTTGCTATTGTTTACTTTGTAAGCGCTTAAAATTCCGGATTTTCAATATAAGCGGGATTAATGAGGAAAAGGAAATGTTTTTCAATGGAATATTGTGTTACTCGTTCAATTAAACGAGAGGCAATACGTGGAAATATTTTAGGAACAAGATACGAATCTACACTGGAAAGAAATGTCGATTAACCGTCGAATAAAGCAATTTCCAGGCAGGAAAAAAATCCAAGATAAATATACGGAATTACGTTTTACTAAAATGCTTTTCGATTCAAATTTCACAGGGGTCGAGTTTTCTTTCCTTTTTCTATTTCTCCACGCATCGAAGTTTAATTTGGAATGGATTATTTTAAACACGATACAAAACATCCCGAGAGATGTTAATACTTCTTCTGTGAGAAATTAAAATTCGATCCGAGAAAATTATTTTTACAAATTATCTTTCCTGGTAATTTCTTCAGTCTGCCTGTTTTTACGCTCGGTTTTGGTAAAAGGAGTCTTTAATTTTATGTCTTGTCTGTTGTTTACCAACAAATAAAGTTGTAAGTAGATTTTTCACAAAAAATGCTATTATATCAGTTAATTTACTAAAAATAGACGTGTGGTTCCCTGACAATAAACAAAAAGTATACAATAAGTACGGTATGTACTATTGTATACTTTTGTACGTACTGTACTATTGTACTTTTCGTGACAAACCCTGACGGTACGTATATATCCACATATTTTGATAGCGTATTATGAGTAGTGTATATATAAAGAGATAATGTGCTTGAGCAATGCATAGAAGCATTATTTAAGTTGAACTATCAAAGAGATGTACTGTACAAGAGAGAATACAAGGGATTTCTAGAGTATAAGGAATGATAGCTGCTCTTATGCTGTGTAAATGAACACTGTAAACATATTATTGTGAATAATGTCGTGTGTTGCATAGAACTTAAAATTAAAATAAAATATAAAGGTTCTATACGTAGTCCCGAACGATTTAAAGGCTTCAAAAATATCATCTCAATAAACTTTATATTATTTTTAAAAATTACATAAAAGGAACAATAAAAAAATACTTATTTTATGCATTACGCTTCTTGTCTAGTCTTGTGTTGAATTATACGAGCGCTAAGGTGGCTTTTTTTTCGCTAGACTTATTATACCATCAATAAAAAGGAGGACAAGCTTTAGAAAAACATTTTATTTCTTCGAGTATGCATTTCAGACAATTATGCCCCTTTTCAACTCTTGTGTTACAACTATATAGGGAAAATTACATACAGGTTAGCATAATGTATAGAAGTTAGCATACATTTATTGTAATGTTAAAAAATTGTAAAAGATCATTATAAAATTGTAAAAGATGATGTAAAATTATGTAAAATTGTAAAAGATGATGTAAAAAGTTTTGAACTTACTGGAAACATGACGACATCTTTTTATATCTATGTTGTTTGTTTTCCCTTTTGCAAATCATTTCCAATTTAATCATTATTTTAGTTTATGCCCATTAATCAGTAATTGCCATCCATATTTTATCTAATGTCACAACTCCTGCATTTCTCATAATCCATCTAAGTTTCCTAATGATCTTTTACAATTTTGTAACATTACAATAAATGTATGCTAACTTCTATACATTATGCTAACCTGTATGTAATTTTCCCTATATAGTTGTAACACAAGAGTTGAAAAGGGGCATAATTGTCTGAAATGCATACTCGAAGAAATAAAAAGTTTTTCTAAAGCTTGTCCTCCTTTTTATTGATGGTACAATAAGTCTAGCGAAAAAGAAAAACCACCTTAACGCTCGTATAATTCAAAAAAAAAAAAAAAAAAATACTGTAGACTTTTGTAGAATAAAAATGGAGCCGATGGTCATTAGTCTACATACGTAAGGAAGATACTTCCGTGTACGGTGATGTCTCGTACTTCGAATGTTCAAGAATTCAAACGACGACTATTTACGGCATTTAATTATGTTAGTTTTACCTTAAATTATGTGTATTCACTATTTAACTTTATCGAAAAAAGTATTATTTAGGGTTAGAACGGATTAATTCACTTTTCGTTATTTCTAATGGAGTAAAATTGATTCGTACTTCGAACCATTCACAGTTTGAACATCCTCCTGAAACGAATTAAATTCGAAGTGCCACTGTACTGTACATTACTAAATAGAACATATGTTAAAAATTATGTTTACTGTTGTAATTAATTTGAAATTTCCGACATTTTTGCAATGAAAAAATCCTGCAACAAGATGCGTAACTTTTCCGGCCAAACTTTTAATATTGTATGTGGCGTCATCTGTCAGGAGATAGTATTTAATAACCTTTTCTGTTATTAATTATTAAAAAATGGCAAAAAGCTTTATTTTGAAGATAGAGACGAGTTTTATAAAAGAAAAATAAATTGCAAATGCTAATTACGAGTAAATCAGTAACTGCTACCTTTTTTATCTTCCCACTCTGGATTTTTTACCACCAAAATTTAACATCGCGAATGCCCCTAATATTCAAACTTTCCTGCAAAATCGCAGAAATTTTTCACAGAAGACACAGGAGTTTCAAAGAGGGTGAACAAAATCGTGTTCCCCCACACACATTAACATTAATACGTACGGGGAGGAACTTTTTTGCATTTCTTGACGTTTCGAGTTCGCTCCAAGGCCAAAAATGTAAAACTCTCGGTGGCCATTTTATCACCAATCGCTATACTTTCCTCCCGTTACGTATAAGAGTCGTAAAATAAAAATAATAATAATAATAATAATAATAGTAAACGCGTAACGTCGCGTGACCCTTTCTAATAATCTTAAATTTCTACCTGGTAACGAACACGAGACTAGGTAGACTAACGAGCATCGGTTCCATTGTTTTCATTAATCAGTATTGTTATAAAAGATATCCGAACAATACTTACTTCATCTGGTGTCCGTGAACACGGCAAATGTCGTCATACTTGTGATAAATAGCACTGAATAGCAATAACGATTCCAACCACTCGATATGAACTATCAGACGATTACTCGTGCCTTCTATATATGTATTTGGCATCTCTCGTATCTAGAATTAAAAAAAAATCACTCTTTAAATTAACATATATATTTTTTTCTAAATCTCCGAAGAAAATGTAAAAAAAAATTAATATAAAGAAGAAGGGAAAAATACAAGTATAATTTTATTTAGGAAAAGTACTTTTGTGTCGAAACGCTTGGATAAATTTCTCGTATTGTTTCCGTAGTTCTTTAATATCGAATTCTTCAAGTCGACCATACGTAACTAATGGATTCAATTCCGCACAATATCCTTTTGTTCTATGCCAAAGCAAGAAATGAAGTCTTGCAAATGATTTTTTCGTCCGAGAGAAGCGAAAGAAAAAATATATCGTCAGATATGGAATTTTGGTTTCGTACGGGCATTTCTGACAAATGTCGATGGGGTGGAATACATCACAGAATATATCGTTTCACTTTTAACATCTATGAACTCCTTTCCTTTGTTTCCTTTCCTTTCTACTTTCCCTGCTGTTGTGTATAAAACATGGGAAAGTACTGTGTAACCTAGTTTCGTGTTCGTTCCCCCCCCTGTATGTATGGATGTTAGTGTGTCACGGGAAAGTCGTGTCAAATTTGACCCTCTGTTTTTTAAAAATCACGTTTTGAAACCCTCTGAACCCCAAAAAAGTGATAAAACGGTAATATGTATGTATGCTTGTTTGTGTTCTCGTGTGTGTTTTGGCGTTATTTCGTTTAAATAACTCGGGATACCTAGTCTCGAGTTATGTGAGTAGCAATACGAACGTGTTAAGAATATCACGTGATATTAACCCGTTCATCGAGACCATTCAGTGAACGAATTGTGACACCTGACACTCCCAACACATTCGTTTTGGGAGTGTAAAGTGTAACATATTCGATACTCGTGTAACTCGAGACTGGCCTCCAGGTTGGTGTAACGATTAAGAAATGAAAATTTGAAACGGTAACTTATACACAAGGGTCATTGATGGTATTAAATTTTCGTGGTTAAACGTTGAGGGGGTCAACTGTCTGATATCTAAGATTGGGTGGAAATTAATTAATGTAACTTTTACTCGTTAATCGCGTTTACAATTTTATAAAAAAAAGTCTTATCTGTACCCTCAAAATTAATCCTTTTGCCTTTTTATAATAATATTAATAATATAAAAGTTATTTTTTAATAAAATCGCGTAAAAGATGGCGCCACACGCAATTTTAAATTTGCACTAATGCGTCTTCGTGTTTCTAAACATTAACTTTTGCCGGGAAAGTTATGCAACTCGTTGGTGGTTATTTAAAAAAATAAATCTGTAAATGGACTCGAACATTAACAAAAGAACTGGTTCTTATCTTGGATTTTAGTCGAGAGAAATTCATTAATAGAAAATATCAGCTAAATATTTTAGATAGAGAATGATAGATGTTACGTAATGGCTATAAATAAACTTTGCCTAATGACGATAAGAATTGAAGATTGTTACGACCAAGTTAGATAAGGGTGAAGAGATTGTTTGTTCTCGATAGCAGTGGTTAATAATTGATACGATCCTTCGATACAATCAGAAATAACTTCTAATAAAAAAAAGGAGAGGAGTGAGTACGTGTAGTTATTTTGCGAATGATAAGGGTAGAATTTGATAAAGTGGGTTTGTTAGTTACTTTTTCTGATTTTGAATGGACATAATTGGAAGAGTACCGATACATTCTGTTTAATCAAATGCTACGTAAGCTTTTGTTCTATTCCACCATTATAAGTGACACAGGTGAATTTTTTACTGTAAGTTCTGGAAGAAATTGTTCGAATTTTCGTGATTTTTGGGCTTTAATTTTGAAATTGCTGACTTATACATTCCCACTTTCGTCTGTCTGCCTGTCTGTCCGTTAATATCTAGAATGGTTGTAGATAGATGAAAATCGAGACAAGATGTAGAAAGATTAACGCCCGATTAACTATATACGGACTTTCGGTCTGGACCGGAAGACACTTGAATTTTTAAAAGACGAATAAAATTGCAGCCCTTTTATTAAATACTTTCTCCTATTATTTTACGTGATAATTTATTTTTTTTAATATAACCCAGTGAATGTCTGTAGTAAATCTTCACGTTTTGTTTACCCGAATGTTCGCTTATCCTAACAAAATTGTAGAAAAGAACAGATCGAGATTGATTCGATAAAGATCGATACCGGAGTAGGTCTAAGATTTATGACGAAAAGTCCATTATATCGAACATCTACCAACGAATTGTTGGCACGAAAAATTGGTTTTTCGAACGATACGTTAAAGAAACCTTTCTAATTATTGCTGTGCCTTTTAGGGGGAAAAATTTTTGGCAATTCTGCTTGACGTTGCCGGCACTCGAACTGGAGATTAACAGGGCCATTAGCAAGATAATTTTCAATTGTACAAGGATAGAAAATTTAAATAATAACAAAAGCGTTAAAAGGGTCATTTTCATTAAGACCGATGCACTTCGAAGTGTGACACGTGACCCCTTCTATCTCTCCACCCCATTGAGTTCGTTTCGTCGTCTCTACCAAATCCTGAGGTGTTAAACGAAATAGATGCCAACATACTACACACACATAAACATACCAGTACATACACATAGAGGGAATTTTCTCTTATTCTCCTAACCCAAAAAGGAATTCCCTCATCCTTTTTGGGTTCAGGAGTGTCAAAACGTGGAAATTTGCAAATAATTCGGACACAATTACAATACTATCCCGTATTATATACATAACTGGCGAGAAATTAAAAGTAATTGTTACTTTAAAAGAATTTATTTTAAAATTTAATGATAAATAATCACGTTAAAGAGTAGACGGGGAGAGACTCGCTATTTACCGTTCTATTCTCGGTAATATCGAGTGTTACGCTCGGATTGCTGTTGCTTTATGGAAATTGTTTACGAATCTCGAGTAAGGTATCAATCGAAAGCTCTTACAGCTCTTACAGAAAAATGAGAATCTCCATTTAATCTCCCAGCCTAGAGATAGTTACAGTATCAAACGGCATCTCTTTAGAAGATAGGTTTATAAAATAAAACCCCTTGTTTAATTATTTTCGACACTTGTCTGATGTAAATTTACTTATATACATCGTAGTTTTATTGAGTTTTCTGTAAAATCCCACGTAGATGGAGGTGTCGGTTGTTTTTATGGGCACTGCTATCCTATTGTTGGAGAACAATGAAAAGATAACATCCATAAAGCTCGAGAGGACACGTGGAAGTCCGTCCCATTGTCTTATCGAACTTAATGGATTGACCAGTTCCGTACATCGACTCCCTCCCTATTCGTGTCGTTTCATTGTCGTGGATTACAAAGATATTATGAATGAACTTTGATCGATCATGAATTTGTTCTTGACACTATGATTCGCAGGTGTAATCGAATAAGACTTCAGAACTACTATTGTTTTTAATGTGCCTAGTCGTGTCAGTAACTGATAGCTTTCAGTTTATAATTTAAAAGTTTATGCTATATCAATATAATTTAACCAACTTGGGATTTTGAGTGGTGGGTGAGTGGCGAGGTCGACTTGGGAGAAGGTGATATAAACAATTGTCTTACGGTTAGTAACTAAAATGTACTGTACTGTACATTTATTGACTTGAGCAAAAAAACCAACAAAAAATTGTTTGGGTTAACTTTAAAAAAAGAATTGGAAGTGGGGACCTTGACGGTAATTTTTTAGAGTATTGAAAAATACCCATGTCAAATTTGGTGAGGATACGTTGAAGGGTATAGATCACTTTACCTGACAAACATACATAAAGTAAGAGGAGGATGGTTGGGGTAGAGATTCGCAGTATTTTTTGTACGGTATCGAAGAATATTCGTACCAAATTTGGGGCAGTTACGATGAACGGCTTACAAGCGAACATACATATTTTGGATTTTATGTATTATAAATAAATATATCCGTTTAATTTTTTTCTTTATCCATCAATCCGTCCGTTTGTCTGAACAGAACTTCCCACATCTATAAAGCTTGAAAGTTTTGAGCATGTTTGAACTGTATAAATTTTATTTTCATATACCGGTAATCTCATCTGTTTATACGAGACGTGTGACTTATTGTGATAAAGCGTTTTTCTGATCTTTTAAATTTACATAAATTTAGATGGATCCAAAAATGTTTTCCTCGTACATCGCATTTTATCAGAAAGTATCATAGATGATAAGTTATTTCCTTCCATTATTACGAAATGAAGAAGATACTGCTGTTTTCTAACGCACTAGCACAGTATTTAAACACCTTATTTATTATTAATTGATAGCAGGAAGCCCTCTAACTTTATACCAAACCTTATCAGTAACATCTTTATAGAAATATAAACTTCTAATTATATTATCAAATTTATTAACAATCCAAAACTTTGCATTTCTCTACAATTCTGGTATGTGAAAAATCTTTACTTAGGGGAGACCGGGGCAAGATCGGCATGTTAAGCTTTACTTAAATTTTGTGTAATAAATACTGCTGTAAACTGAAAAAAAAGCTTTGCATATTGTCTATTGGAATGTTACCTTACTATAGAACTGGTTAAAATCAGTTTGGAAATAAAAATAATTAAAATAATTACAACTTTACAAGAAGAGAGAAATTGACGAAGTTGCCCCGGGTATAGGGGCAAGATCGGCAACTTCTCTCTTTTTGTAAAGTTGTAATTATTTTAATTATTTTTATTAAAGTTGCCCCTGGTATAGGGGCAACAGTAATGGGGCAAGATAGGCACGTATATAAAATTATGTTATTAACAATGTATAAGTTGGAATTCACTATTAAAACAAAGAAATACAAATCCAACACCCATTTAATATTATTACAACGAAATGCAAGTTCAAAGACATATATACATGAATAACAAATGCAAACATGTTTTCATTTATCATCTGTTTGATTTTTATCCTTTGCTTCTAATGTGGCTTTATGTTGCCGATCTTACCCCGCTAGTCATGATTTCGAAACATTAAGTACAACCCTGAGAACAGAATGCCAAGCCACGATCTGGCCACGTGAATAAGTTGAAGTTA